GTATCGAAAATAACTTGTTTATAGTTGATAATTCCCAAACCTACTTTTTTTTTTTTTTTTTCTAACCGAATATTAAATATTATGGAACAAAAAAAAAAAGAAAAAAATATTTTTTATTTTAGTTAGATATTAAATTTTTTTTTTCCTGAAAATAATATTATTTACAAATGGTGCAACAATGTACTTTGTACAAATAATGAGGCAAAAAATAAAGTTAATGAAATAAAAGAAGAGAAGATATAAATGAAGAAACTTTTGGCAAATAAAATATCGAATTGATAACTGGAATTAATTATTTAAGTAATTAAATCATTAAATTTATTTCACAAATTTTTCAATCTTTTAAAAAAAAAAGCTTTGCATTTTGAAATTAAACAAAATATGAAAAGTATTTTAACATTTTGCAAATTACTAAATCTCTAATAATGCCCAAGAAATTTGTATAAATGAATACCTAAATTTAATTACAATCAATAAAATTAATTACAATCAATAATTTACAATCAATAAAATTACAATCTTAATTACAATTAATAAAAATTGTAAGGATTCTCTACAAAACCTAATATGAGTAGCATCAATGCAATTAGGAAATGAACATGATAAAGTAAACTTGAAAAATAAATAACTTCTAAATGTGACCCCTACTAAATGAATTCTGATCAATATAATAAAATTAATAATTTCATAATCTATTTGCATATAATTGTTGAAATCTAAAATGTATGAAAATCTTGTAAACTATATTTGCAATTATTTAGTTATAAATGAATATAACAAAAGATATGAGAATGCAAAAATTAAATCCATTTCTTTTTCGGTAATATTAACACTTAAATTGTATATCTTCCATTTGCGCCAATATAATGTTTAGTGCGCAAATTGTTTTTCCATAAAAAAAAAAAAAAAAAAAAAAAAATTTTAAAAGATAAACAAAATGAAACATACAACGAATGATTATTCATCACCTGTTGCTACAAAGGAAAGGAAAAAAGCAATTTTTAAAGTTTTTTCTTTTTTTGCTAACAGCTAATACATCAAAAAACTTCGCTAATTTCTCACTTTTCAACAAAAATACATTTATCACCAAAGAGATAGATGTTTTTTTTCAGTCATTAAAAAACTTTCTCACATTCCTTCAAATTCAGTAAGTTCATATTTCATCAATTTGTTCAGCTAATAGATTGATGATGATTGCATTGATGGATATTTGAGCAAATTTGATTCAAATTTCATTTCAACATTTTAATACCAAAAAAAGTTTTAATTGGTTTTTTTTTTTTTTTTTTTTGATATTTTCATTCGTTCATTTCCAGATTTCTTATGTGAAATAGAAAAAAAAAAAATTGTAAATTGCATTGGAAAAAATTAATTAAACCATCAGTATTTCTTGAAAGTTTATTAGCAGCAAATTCTTGAAAAGTTTAGGCTAAAATTCAAATTTTAATTATGATTATAGATGATGGCATTCATGAAATAATTGATGTTTAAATTGTTTTTTGAACATTTAAACACCAAAAGCACTAATGTTTTCTTTTTTCTATTTCCAATTCTTCCACTTTTAAATTTTTTTTTAAAAAAAAAGATTTAAAAATCACTTTAAAAAAATAAAATAATAAGAAATAAAACATTAATTAGCTTTTCAGGAGTTTGTTAGTTACAAATTTGTGAAAAGTTGATTAAAATTCAAATTTAATTCAACTTAGATTTCACACATTTAAACAATTCAACAATGTAGCAAGAGAAATTTGCAATGTAATATTAAATTTATTTTGATTTGGGAATACAGTACGACGGTACGCTTGAATGGCAATGGGAGTAGCGCAGGTGATATTGATGGTGTAGGACTGTCCTGCAGAATGTGGTGACATACTGTATCATTATTATCGCTATAACTACCTACCATCATTACGATAAACTAATTTGTAAAATTTCACTTCTACTTCATCTAACAATGACTATTTACATTATTTGTGATCACAATCAAAGTTAGACGAATATCCTTAACTAAAATTAAATTTCAAATTTTAATTTTCAGATTGATAGAACATAAATTTTAATTAATTTAGGTATATATGGAAATATGAGATTGGTAATGAATGCAAAGATAATAATGAAAATATATGATGATGATTATAAATTGCTGATAATAAATGTAATTTTAGTGATAATACCAATGATAACATTGACGATAATAGAACTATCAAAAATATCTTTTATCCTGCTTTAACATGATTCAAGAAATAAGAATTTGATTCTATTAATCATACAAAATATGCATTTGATAATTGCAATAAATCTATTATCTCATTCAAATCTTTCTTATCACTTTAAAAACACAACGCATACTTTCAGATAATTAATCAAAAGACAGATGATATAATTTCAAACAGTTTTTAATTGAAATCAAAAGTAACATTGTGATTCATTTCTGATAAATTTAATAATGCAATTTTAACGAAATAAAATTTCCAAATGATAACTGTATGATAATGAAAATATAATGCTAATACATAATGTGATAAAATGTATATGATAATACCAATATGATAATGAAACAATGATAAGAGTGATAACTAACAATGTATGTATTATACATTAGATTAAAAATTTTCCATTGAATAATAATGAAAAGAGCATAAATTCCTTGCATTATGTGAAATTATCCAGATTTAATCGAAAAAAAAGCATTGCTAAATGAGAATTTTGTTGGACAAAAAAAAAAAGAAAAGAAAAGTCTAATATTTGCAATGATTTAATAAAGGCCAAAGATTACTAATAGAATAAGTAATTATGAAATTTCATAATAAATATCTGATATCTTTAAATAACTAAATATAAGCTGCATGGAAAAAAAAAGGTTGTAAATGAAGAGAAAAAATTAATTAGGTTGTTAGGAGACAACGAATCAATTTGCAAAAGTATTTTCAATACAACAAATGGGACAAATAAAAAAAAAAAAAGGCAAAGAACATTATACTGATATTATTTGGCTAGTTGTTTACTTTCATTTTAAAAATTATTTGATAATTTTCTTTCATATAGGAAATTTTAGGTATAATAGGATGACTAGTAATGATTTGAATCATTATATGAAGCACGATAGGTAACCACACCTACATACATATACATACAACATATTATACATACATACATATACATACATGCACACATACATATACACATATATACACACACACATAGACACACATACATACACATACACAAACACATACACGTACTTAGTAAGTAGAGGCATAATGATTTTTTTTCTAGTGACCATTGGTCAACAAATGCTGGTGATTCTATAATTTATAAAACTTTTTGAGATTGTCAAATAAGTGAAATGAAAAAGAAAAAAATGCAAAATACTGTTTAAATGGACAATGTAAGGAAGAAACGTTGAAAAAAGAATTCAAAAATTAGGAAAATTTGGACTAACGGGTTGATCACAACTTCAACTGTCAACCTAGTCACAAGGTCAATTAACAATAGATCATTGAACGTAAAAAAAAAAAAA